TGCAAGATATTCGTTAGTATGGCTATAGGATCGGGCCATTTCAGGCTCTCTCTCCTCAGCTGCCCAAGGACCTAGTTGGGTACATCTCTCTGAACCCCTGGGAACCCCTCTAGAGTCAAGGCTCTTGCCAACCCTAAAATGGCTCCCTTAATTAAGATATATACTTCCCTGCTCCCATATCTATCCTTCCATTATCCCAACCATCCATTCCCCCAAGTTCTCCCTATCCTCCCCTTCTCACTTTTCTCTCCCCATCTCCCCTTTCCCCCATCCCACCCCACACACCCCCAGTTCCCAAATTTTGCCCAGCAATCTTGACTACTTCCAATATCCAGGAGGACAACTGTATGTTTTTCTTTGGGTTCACCTTCTTATTTAGCTTCTCTAGGATCACAAATTATAGGCTCAATGTCCTATATTTATGGTTAAAAACCAATTATGAGTGAGTACATCCCATGTTCATGCTTTCATGAGAAGATAAATGTGGGTAAAACTACAACTACTTCTCTTCAAATAGACTGATATATTTGAAATAGATAGAGAGATATAAAGAAAGCTTTTCAATTGCTCATTTTCTGCCAAAACTTGAAGAAGTTTTGATGTAGTTTTACTTATCTATATACATGTAATGAGTTAGAAACCAAGCAATCGGTTCTACGGGCTTATTGAACACAACAGAGAGCCGTGATCACAAATCAATGAGCATGCTACTGCTCCACTTTATTAACAAGCAAAATACTATTCATAATTACTCATCAGTTTATCTCGAGGTAACTGAAGGGTATGCTAAACAACAAAACAAAATGATTTAACACCAAAAGTAATCTTTGTTGCTTGATAAACTCTACCCAAATCCACCAAGTAACAAAAAGTGAAAAATTTCAAATCTGTTAATAAACAGAATCAAACAAAATAACCAAACTTCAAAAAGAATTCATTTTAGCCGGGCGATGGTGGCACATGCCTTTAGTCCCAGCACTCAGGAGGCAGAGGCAGGCGGATCTCTGTGAGTTCGAGACCAGCCTGGTCTACAGAGCCAGTGCCAGGACAGGCTCCAAAGCCACAAAGAAACCCTGTCTCGAAAAACCAAAAAAAAATTCATTTTAAAGGTGTTGAGAAGCTTCCAGAAAAGACACACACATTACCCCATGCTTGGATTTCCTTGTATGAGGAAAGAAAAAGATAAATGTGAGGCCCTCAACAGCGCTGCATTTTCCTTTTAAGAAAGAAAGGACAAAATTCTTATTCTGAGATTAATTATTAAAAGAGATTATGGCAAAGCAGTGATGCAACAATTTTATTTAATAAGTGAAATGAGAAATTAATTTATATTTTCTCTTTAATTTTTATCACATAAGAATTCAAAACTTTAACCTTAGTATTTCCAGGACACCTGCAGCCAATAAACAAGACCACTAGCGTGCATGATGCTCACAAGCAGAGAATGTCACAACCCTGTGTACATTCACATACAGTTGAAATTTTATGACTTGACTATTCATGGCTCGTGGTCTGAAAGCGAACACGATGTAATGTTACTTTCTATTCGTGCGGAAGGATCCAGGCAACTTAAGTGATCTTTAACAATCTACCTTTGAAAACATCAAATTACATGGAAAGAGCAGGTGCCACAAATTCATGCACAAATGTAAGTTTTCTTGAGAGCACTGAAATGCCTCAGAAGATCATTAAGAGTATCATTCAGAGAACTGGGGAGATGGATGGTTCAGAGGTTAAGAGCACTGGCTGCTCTTTCAGAGGTTCAGAGTTCAATTCCCAGCACCCACAGGGTGGCTCACAACCACCTTCCATAATGAGATCTGGCGCCCTCTTCTGGCATGCAGGCAGAAAGCTGTATCTATTATAAAAGAATAAACCTTTTAAAAAGAGCTATCATTCAAAGAAAATTTATACAATTTGGGTTATTAAGGTTTATAATAACCCTAATAATCAAGAGATATGCATATGCAGAGAAAAAGATGAAATATGATTAGTGCAACTAAAAGCCTAGTATCTTCATACCAATAAAAACAGCACAATTAAGAATATGTAGGTTAGACTAGTAGAAAACCTCTTAGAAACAAGGACATTTCTTAAAATGACATCGTCTAGGAATTGACAACACTTAGTTGAATACAAAGCTATCCCTGCAGTGGGGACTTTCCTTAACTTCTCTCCCAGCATCCTGAAGCAACAGGTTGGAGACCATGGGTTTGAGGAATTTGAACTCACCAGTCCCAGAGTCCCTGGTCAGACATACCTCATACTGGTAGCTCTGGGACAGGGTCCCCGTGCCACTGATGTCGACCAGGTGTCCAGGAAAGTGGCCCTCAGGAGCAGAGCAACCACCAAGAGACGCCGCCCTGGCCCTCCTGCACAGCCTTATCCCCACGAACAGCAGCACAGACAAGAGAAAGAGCGAAGACACAGACGCCAAGGCAATGACCAAATAGAGTGTGAGCAAGTCCTCATTGTCCTGTACAGAGTCGCGCGCCACCTCTGGCAGAGGCAGGTAGGGCTGAGAGAAGCCATCCACCACCAGCACGTGCAGAGTGACACTGGCAGACCGCGGAGGATCGCCATTGTCCTTGACCAGCAGCAGCAACCTGTGCTTGGGCGCATCGCGCTCACTCAGCAGCCTGGAGGTGCGCACCTCGCCATTGTGAGTCCACACGCTGAACAGCCCTGGCTCCGTGGCCTTGAGCAACTGGAATGACAGCCAGGCGTTCTGGCCAGAGTCTCGATCCACCGCCACCACCTTGGTGACCAGGTAGCCAGGCTCCGCCGCCCTGGGGAGCAGCTCTGTGTAGGGCGCAGAAGCGTTCTGCAGCGGGTAGAGCACGAAGGGCGCATTGTCGTTGGCGTCCAGCACCAGCACGCGCACCAGCGCCTGGCTGCTGAGCGCAGGCGAGCCTTGGTCTGTTGCCCGCACAAGGAACTCGAAGCTCTGCAGGGTCTCGTAGTCCAGCGCCCTGAGAGCAAACAGCTGCCCATTGTCGGCGTTGATGGAGATGAACGAGGAGAGAGCCAGCTGCGGGTCTGTGGTGGGCAGCAGCGAGTAGATGATGTGGGCATTGGAGCCCAAATCTGAGTCTGTGGCGCTGATGGTGCCTATGTGCAGGGCGGGGCTGTTGTTCTCTTGGACAAACAGGGTGTAGGAGCTTTGTGTGAAGGCGGGGGCGTTGTCGTTGACATCAGACACCTGCACTGTTATGGTGTGCTGGGTTGTGAGCCTGGGTGTGCCCAGGTCGCTGACTGTGATGGTGATGTTGTACTCAGCTCTGCTCTCTCTGTCCAGTGCTCCTTCAGACACTATAGTGTAGAAGTTCTCTACGGATGGTTTCAGGATGAAGGGGAGATCGTTCTGGATGGAACAGGTTACTTTCCCATTATCTCCAGAGTCTAAATCAGCCACACTGAAAACAGCCACCACAGTCTCTGCTGAATTCTCAGGGATAGGACCGGTCACTGACGACAAAGTCAGTTCTGGTGGGTTATCGTTCACATCAACTACCTGGACTATGACTGTACATTTTCCCGAAAGGCCTCCACCATCCTTGGCTTCTATGTCAACCTCGTAAGTATTAATTGTTTCGTAATCCAAACCCGTAACTAGTTCTATATCACCAGTAATGGGATTTAGTTGAAAAGTTTTGAGAATTTCTTCAGAAGCATGGAAAAACGCATACGATATTTCACCAAAATTCCCTGTATCTAAGTCAGAGGCTGAGACCGTGATGATGACAGAGCCAACAGGGCTCTTCTCTAGAATTTGAACCTCATAGAGTGACTGTGTAAATTCTGGTGCGTTGTCGTTTATGTCTAAGACCAGGATGTGAACCTGGGCAGTGCCAGACCGAGGTGGGGAGCCTCCATCCAGGGCTGTGAGAGTTAAACTGAGCTCTGCCTGCTCCTCCCGATCCAGAGCTCTGTCCAGCACTAGTTCTGGATACTTCCTTCCATCCCTACGACGGCGGGTGCGAACGTGGAAATGGGACTTGGGAGACACCGTGTAGTTCTGGAGTCCGTTTCTTCCCACGTCCGGATCCACAGCATTTCCCAAAGGAATTACTGTTCCGGGTGGGGAACTTTCCGGGACTTTGAGCTGCATTGCAGTTTCAAAGAACTCTGGGGCGTTGTCATTTACATCTATGACCTCGAGTTCGTTTGTAATAAACTGCAAAGGATTATACAGCAATATCTGAAAGTGCAGCACACAAGGCTCTGCGGAACCGCACAGCTCCTCCCGGTCCAGTTTCTCAACCAAGAGCAAATCTCCGGTCTGATGGTTGAGCTGAAAATATTGTATGTTCCCTTTGGAAACAGCCTGAGTTCTCCTTTCAGCCAGTTCTTCCACCCTGAGTCCCAGATCCTTCGCTACATTGGCTATTAAGAACCCTTTCTCTTTTTCCTCAGCCACAGAATAGTGCCGAGACCCGGACCCAGCCAGAGACCCACCTAGAAAAACAAAGAGAAGCAAGACTTGCCTTTGTTTAAGAAAGCTCTCCTTCCAGGCTTCCATTGTATTTCTGCAGTGTTTTTCCAAGGGCTCGTCACCATAAGGAGCTTTATGCTTCTCTGTGAAAAGCAAAGTCTTTTGGAGATAGCCTAACAATTAATGTTTCCCAGAGATTTAGATTTCACTGCTTAAAGATCTGTCCAGGTCCACAAGCCCTTGTTTTATCGCACCGGATCGCTCGCTAGGTTTGTCTGTGAGTATGGAGTGTACAAGCTCTTAATTCTCTTTTTTAGTCAACAGCGCCACCATGCGTTCGTTTTTAGTTTTAAATTTTTAGAAAAGGTGCCGGTTTTGTTACTGGTTTATTTTAGATTTATCAACCCCTTATCAAAACCCCTAGTCAAACCTATTTGATCCTACCGAAGGAGTTTCTTGTGACACACAAGTTAAACAAAAACTAGGCAAGTATAATACACTAACTGGAATTAGCTGTCTCTAATAAGAGTCCTCATTTACGTGATTTACACGTGAGCACATGCTTGGGTACCTACCTACAAATTTTAAAAGATTTTGTTTTAAGTGACTAAAATGCTTATCTCCCCTTTCTGTGATTTTCTTCATTTTCCAATTTTTGCGAAGTGTGTGAGTTGCATTAATAATAAGAGAAACACTATGGAAAGTCGAGGTGGTAAAATACAATAACGTACATCAGGTGGCTGAAGATGCATAATTGCTTCCATATTTTCATGCTCCTGGAGTAGTTTCCTCTGCTTTCACAGTAATTTAATAATTATTAGCTTAACATTTATTAACTTATTACCTTAGGTGATTATTTAATTTCTAGAAGTTATACATGTAACGGTAGCAAGGTAAGGTCTATGAATTTTGTAGTTTCACATCCAACAGAGTGCACAGATTTTAAACATGTTCAAACCGTGTGAACCATGTGACACAGGAAACATACTGACTGCACAGAACGCCATGGGGAGTAGTTATGAAAATTCTCCCCCAAGTCTTGGCATTGAATATGGACTGCTAAGGATGAGAAGTGTAACAGGTGATGCAGAAGAGAAGAGCCTCCAAGAGTAAAGTATTGATAATTTAGATTAAGGACAGTGTGCCAGAGCTTAGTGTGTCAAGGGCTACGGAGATGAAGGAAGTGAAACCCAGGAGAAATGTAAGTAAGAAAAGTACTTGTATTTTATCTCAGAGCAAAAGAGGAGCTATTGTAAAGTTGTAGGCAGACAAAAAATGAAGCAATGCAGATATAACGTGTTCAATCTGCCCTTTATGCAATTATCAGGAGTGTTACACACTTGCTCATTATGAGTTTATTCCTAATATTAAATATTAGTGACACTGAAACCAATAGCAACTGTACTTCTATAAGCTTATGTTATGGTACGCGATAATAACTGCAAGATAGCTAGTTGACGATAACTGAAACAGATGGGGCCATGGGAGGTCACTTAACCAAGATAAGGTCGCTAGCTGGAGACTTTTGATACCAAGATGGTCCTTTCTGTCCCCGATAATCTCAAATGAAATATTAACATTCCACACACCTAAGAGCATATCTAATTCAAATACACATAAACTCATGTAAAAATTAGTAGGAGGTTGAGAAACAATAAGAGTTAAATATCGATAGCAGGTGTGTCACAGATTCAACTTCAAGAAGTGAGGAAAGTTGGGTGAGTGACTTGAGAAACATAGAAGCATATTTAACTTATAAATGAAATACCAGAAATTCTGTATTCATTAAGGCAGTGGATAGGAGAGGAAACTCGAATTAAACGTTAAGAGAAAAGAAGGAAAGATACATTGAAAAAGAGTGATAACTGCACAGCACCCAAATGACGGCAGCAAAGTCAGCTTATTATTTGTAGGTCGGAGGATTTAGTTCTGGCAAAATAACTACAGCAAAATCAGATCATTATATGTCAGAGGATTTAGTTCCAGCAAAAGTTTTGTTCATTAGGTATCTCACCATATTTTCTAAATTATCAGTATGTCGCAATTAAAACAATTCTTTCAATCAATTAGTTAAAAATATTAAGAACCTAAAGCATCTTAGTGACTGTGCTAATCATGGAATGGATGAAAGCTATCCATAAACATAACTCAAAAACTTAAATTTTAAAAAAAAATTACTTGTGTGTGTATGTAAGTTAGAAGAGTTTGGTTTTCTACTTCCATCCTGTGGGGCAGGGAATAAACTTAGGTTGTCAGGTCTATTGGCCATTTCATTGGCCCATCACAAACCTTGTTTTAAAAAAAAAAGCTTGAAAAGTATATGATACTAAAGAGAGGAAAATAACCCTGACTGCTCTTTGGACTGGAGAGTGAGGGGGAGAGGTGTGGAGGGAGAGGGAGAGGGAGAGGGAGAGGGAGAGGGAGAGGGGTGGGAGGAGGGGGAGGGAAATGGGAGGCTGGGAGGAGGCGGAAACTTTTTTTCTCAATAAAAAAAAGAGAGGAAAATAGAACAAGTCCACCCAAAAATTAACAAAAATTATAATAAATTCACATCACGTTTCAATTAATTGTACTCAATTAAATATTTAATGCCCCAGAAAATTTTAAAAAATGGAGTGCCAAGCTACAGACACATTTTCTAAGTTGGTAAAAGATGAAAGCCTACTCTCTTGTATATAGTTCAATTGTCATAAAGTCCTCAAGAGTTTAATTAACTGGGAGTATTAATGCAATGCCTGTTTTCCCAACACTCTGGATGTGGGAGGACCTGTCACAACTTCAAGACCACAATGAGATCTGGTCTCTAAAGAATCTTTAAAAAGTATTGAGTTCAGAATAAAAGTTTTGAAAGACTACTTGAAATAAAACATGAAAAATTATCGCACCCTTGAAAACTACTAGGCAATGTATTCTGTAGCTATGCTTTAGGATCACATATGATTTTGGCTGAGTTTGTCTTGCATTTGTAATCTGAACACTTTGTGAGACCCAACAATTAGGATTTCCACAGTCTTAAAGAGTCATAAGTTTTCTATGCTGATACTTTCAAATGTGTGCGTAGAGCAACATGGAAAGAGTGCTGTACTGCTCACACTCATGTTAAGAGTCTGAAGTCAGAACACAGGATAAAAGTTACATTAACAGGAGACTAGAGGAACACAAATGATCTGGACTGCAAAATATTACAACTCAGGTAATGAGTGCAAATATTTTTAGACAGCACTTAAGAATAATTCAGGCCAGGCGGTGGTGACGCATGCCTTTAATCCCTGAACTCGGGAGGCAGAGGCAGGCGGATCTCTGGGAGTTCGAGGCCAGCCTGCTGGTCTACAAGAGCTAGTTCCAGGACAGGCTCCAAAGCTACAGAGAAACCCTTTCTCGGAAAAAAAAAAA